ACGATGGAAGGAACACGTCCTTGGTCCTCAACACAAAGTGTCTTGGACTGTTGAAGGAGCCAGTCCTTGGTCCTTAATACAAAGTGCCTTGGACTGTCGAAGGATTCAGTCCTTGGTTATTAACACAAAGTGCCTTGGACGATGAAAGGAGCAGGTCCTTGGTCCTCAACAAAAAGAGTATTAGATGATGAAAAGTGGCAGTCTTTGATCTTCCATGTGTATAAAGGTTTGCAATTTTAAGTTTGTTCGTAAGCAAAATATTGTCTGAACTCATAAAATAACTGCAACACGAAAATTTAACCTCCACCCAAAGGAAATCTCAAACCTCGAAATTCTCGACTTGCTTCAAAAGTTGAGTTCCTAAAAAAAATAAATAAAAAAAAAATGAAGAATGTTAGTTTCAATTTTATTAAAACAACCATTCTAAAAAAAAACATAAAGAGTAAAACAAAAGAAAAGTAAAGAAAAAAAAAAGATAAAGTTACGTCAAAAAAACAAATTGAGAAAGGGTTTCTGCACAGAAACCAATTGAATTGGTTTTCCATGCGGAAACCAAAGCAAAATCAAAGAATTAAAAATAAAAAAATAAAAAAAAAAAGTAATTCAAGAAACCGAATAGTATGGTTTCTGCCAAAACATATTTGTTGGCAGAAACCAACAAATTTGCTTGGCTAATTCTTGTTCCCACAGACGGCGGAAATCAAGAATTCAAAAATTTAAAAAAAAAAATTGTTTCACCGATTCCAATATGGAATTGGTAAAAGCCAATTCCAAAATTGGAATTCAATATTCTGTTTTCCGCCGTTGGCAAGAAAAAAAAAATGATGAAATCCAATATGGTTTCTGCTGGAGCAACAATTGGTTTTGGTAGAGCATGGTTTTGTTGGATTCGTCTGTTGACATAAACTAAGAAATTAAATAAACAAAACAAAACAAAACAAAACAAAAAAAATCCCAGTCTGACAAAAATCAAAACACAAATTTAACGAATCTGAGCACGAAAATTGATGTCTAAAAAAAATAAATAAAATAAATTTGGCAAAAACCTAAGCTAGTTGATGGCTTCCCCGCCCAGTGCCAAAATCAAGAAATATATTTGGAAAAAAAAAAAAAAAAAAGTCAAACGCTGAAACCAAACGGCAAATGATTAAAATATATATAATATATTAAAAAAATGGAGTTTTCTGCTTTCTGGCAGAAATCAATCAATGGTCTCAAGTTTCTGCTGTACAGAAACACAGCAGAAACGTATTTTTTTAATATAAAAAAAGTTATGTAATTAAAAAAAAATACAAAGATGGGAAAAGAGAGAAAGAAACATAATTTTTTTTTACCTTTGTTTGTGAATTAAACTGGTTTGTTTCTAAATCTCAAAATTTGTCCATATAAATAGGTGGGTATCGGACTTTAGCCCAATCTATTAAAACAAAATAAATAAATAAATAAAAAGCATGTTCAAATCAAATTTGTTATGGGTCGTATAAAATCGAAATTTGACAAAAAAAAAAAAAATCTTATTCTCAAATTCAAGGGATAAGAATTTTATTAAATTCATTCTCAAAATTTTCATCTGTATTAATTTACTAATGAAATGTTTGATATCAAATCAAATATAAAAAAAAATCGAAATCGAACAATTCAAAAAAAATCAAGATTTATTAATTTATTTATTTCATAATAAATAAATAAATTTTGAGAGGGCATTTGTAGACATAAAAATAAAATAAAATAAAATGGATTGGATCGATTTAAATTATTAGCCCAATTAAATTAAAATCTACTAAGATCCATAAATCCAAAGGCCCATATCACATTTTAAATAAATAAACAAACAAATAAATAAAATCATAATTACTCAATTATCTCTTTTAATTAGATGTAATTCAGTAATTATCAAAATTAGCGCGAATTCTCCCCTATAAATAGGACCAATGGTCCATGAGACAAGGGACAGAGAAAGCAAGCAAGAAAGAAAGTGGAGAACGCCACGAAGTGCTGAAGAAATCACAATGCTGAAAGAAGGGAAGAAATTCTGTCAAACTTTAGTTAGGTGAACCCCAAGAAGATTAAAATCTTTTTCGAATCAAACAAGTTCACGCCAAGTCTAAAAAGATCAAAGTGTTCTTTAAATCAAATCAAATTCAAGTACAAGTCCAAGCCTCAAGATTCAAGTTCCAAACAAGTCAAATCTCGACAAATCAAATTTTCAACAAAATTATTGAAGACCAAGATTCAAGCCACGTGGCCCCTCGTCTTCAAATATTCAGATCATTAATCAGAGGATTTTGCGATTTTGCAATTACGAGAAAGTTGACATCACTTGTATTTAACAAAATACAATTTGTAATGATTTTTGTATTTTAATACACGAAATTCCGTCGTATATATATATATATACACGACGGAATTTCGTGTATTAAAATACAAAAATCATTACAAATTGTAGGATTTTGCGATTTTGCAATTACGAGAAAGTTGACATCACTTGTATTTATCAAAATACAATTTGTAATGATTTTTGTATTTTAATACACGAAATTCCGTCGTATATATATATAAAATACTTTTTCCAAAACAAATTTTAACAAGCCAAGATTATGAGAAACAAAAACATCATGAAAGTTGATTCCTTTTTGTCTTTCATTCTTATAAATTTCTTGTTAAAAACTCTTGCATCCATATAAAGCATAGACTTTGAAGAAAATTGTTGATCTTCATCAGAAAGGTAAAATGCTCNATCAAGATTTATTAATTTATTTATTTCATAATAAATAAATAAATCTTGAGGGGGCATTTGTAGACATAAAAATAAAATAAAATAAAATGGATTGGATCGATTTAAATCATTAGCCTAATTAAATTAAAATCTACTAAGGTCATAAATCCAAAGGTCCATTTCACATTTTAAATAAATAAACAAACAAATAAATAAAATCATAATTACTCAATTATCTCTTTAAATTAGATGTAATTGAGTAATTACTAAAATTAGCGCGAATTCTCCCCTATAAATAGAACCAATGGTCCATAAGACAGAGACACAGAAAGCAAGCAAGAAAGAAAGTAGAGAACGTCACGAAGTGCTGAAAAAATCTCAAGGCTGAAAGAAGGGAAGAAATTCTGTCAAGCATTAGCTAGGTGAATCCCAAGAAGGTTAAAATCTTATTCGAATCAAACAGGTTCACACCAAGTTCAAGAAGATCAAAGTCTTCTTCAAATTAAATCAAATTCAAGTTCAAGTCCAAACCTCAAGATTCAAGTTACAAAAAAGTCGAATCTCGACAAATCAAATTTTTTCAACAAATTATTGAAAATCAGGATTTAAGCCACATGGCCCCTCATCTTCAAATATTCAGATCATTAATCAAAGGATTTTGCAATTTCGAGAAGGTCAACATCACTTGTATTTATCAAAATATAATTTGTAACGATTTCTGTATTTTAATACACGAAATTCCGTCGTACAATGACGAAGACAGTGAAGAAACAGAAGAGGAACGTGATAATGTTGGAAAAGGATGGATGTACGGAGAAAACAATGAGGACGACGATGAAGAGACAGAATACGAAGACTAGGCTTGATATCAAGTCGGGTATAGCAGAATTTTTTTTTTCTTTTTCTGATGAGAAAATTAAGTTATTGAATACAATTTTACCTTTTTTTTGATGAGAAAATAAATGTAGACATGACCATCCAACTTTGTTAAATGAAAATCTAACGTGTAAAACCATCAGAAACTTTGGACCATTAAGCTGACACACAAAGGTGTCTCAGACGACCGTTGAGGGAGATTTTGATTAATAGTCATATATTCTGGCTTCAGAAATATAGGAGAAAATGACTGAATACACGACAATATTAAAGAGATGGAGGGGAAGAATCAAATGAGACCTATAGCTCGTATGGTAAAATGGACTGTAGCGTACTGACTAGTGTTATTAACATGTATTGCAGGATGGAATGTGATGCGTTCTTATTCCCAGTTCAGATCTTCTGCGCCAACATGCTGTGTTTTGTTCTCAGTTACTACACCGATACCATAATTCTATACCAAGAATGCTGCTTGGCTTGCAAATCTGGGGCAAAATGTGTGAAGTAATTACCATAGTTATTGCAGAAAAACAAAACTATTTAAGATTATTTATACATATATAGTCTCCATTTTGCTTATTTGACGGTGGTTTTAGGCCTGGGGAGCTTCCACCAGTATTGGAACTGCAGCACAACGAAATACTTCAGTTTCAGAGAAGGGTGGTCATTTCCCAAAAAAATTTCATCCAATGGTGAACAATGTGTATTGCCCTCACCTCAAGATTAGCCTAGACTTTCAAAAATAATGCTACTTGTACATAAGCAGTTACATAATAATTTAAATAACTAAATAAGATGAAATGTAAAAAAGAGAGTGGAAAAGTTTTTTATTTTTTATTTGATTGAATAAATTATGATTCAATCATATCTCACCCCATCATGTATATATAAACAATTAGGTATATCTATTATGTATGTATAGCACAAACGGGCTTCCAAATGCTGCTGCCCAATGTGCATTGCCCTCACCTCAAGATTAGCCTATGCTTCCAAATGCTGCTGCCCGGTCTTGTACGCCAGCAGCTTCCTGTATAATTCTTTCACTATTGCTGCTGCTAGTTACTGTAATGTCGCGAACTTTTTCCTTCAAACACATTTAAAAGATATTCCTAATTAAAATATGTTGCAGATGATTATTTATTTTGTTTTCCATATTGATTGAGCACCTGTCTACCCCATGTTCATGTCCTTGACACATTTTTACCAACTTTTCGTTAGTCAAATTAAGGGATATGGACCCATTGCAAGAAAATTTAAATTCAGTGACTCCAACTATAACTAATGCCAAAATGAACAACATAAAATAGCAATGAATGCCACAGACACAATCATGTCTAGAAACCCCTAACTAATCAAGACGATAATAATATGCAACAATTTAAAATTTTTGAAGTACATTACACAAATATCCATCAGAACATTGAAAATTCTACTGTTAAAACAGTTGTTATATTTAATGATTGTAAGAACACAATTATCGGTAGATACTCAAGAAATCAACAGTTTGAGAATCGGTAAAGCATGAAATTTCTGGGCGAGCGATGACAAACTCATCTCTTGAAATACAATGATACTAACATCAATCATGATTGGAGAACCACCTCAGGAGAGTCGCCCGCCAGAACCACAGTTTTCTGGCACAGACTACCAGGTGCACATCGAGACACTAATTTTAATAAATAAAATAACCTAAACAAAACCAACAGAAAGAAAATAAGACATAGAAAATAAGCAAAGCTGGGATGGGGATAGAACACAAGCACTGGATGAGTCTGTCTTGATCCCAAACAAAGCAAACTGTGAGGCGCCGTCAACTGAGGAATCAGTGAGGGATCAAGTTGAAGCTCTTGCAATTTACTCAAATGTGAAGTTGGCCAGAAACATGATTGCGGCCACCACTTGTTTCCTTGTGTTTCAGTGAAAGATTAGCAAATTGTTGATCAAGATCACTGCTTTTAGCACGTCTATGGCTAGAAGATGGTTGCTGCGGTTGTGGCTGCTGCTGTTGCTGATACAAAGCTCGTAGTCTTCCCACTTCTCTCTCCAATACTTCATGCTCAACTGCATATTGAACCCACATATTCACTTCTGAATATTCTTAGTCGTATACTTTCAGGAAAAGTGCAGTATCTCCCCAATTGGGTGCAATTGTAAAAAAAACAAACAATTGAAAGTTGTATTTTAAGTCATTATTCTATCCCATCTAATCATTTTTTTTTTTCATTTTTGGCTAACAGTAACATATTTTAGGGATGACATAATATCAGATAAAACCTCTCAAAGAAGATTGGGGTTCATCTACTTTCCAAAGCCCATCAGGTAAAACCATTCTACTTTATCAATTTCTACTTGTGCACAAAGGGTCTCTACATGTCTTGTATTTTCTCTCATAACCCAAAGGCTAGCACCAAATCACAGACTAGTTGAAATGAATATCATATTTTAATCAAATTAAGATGTGTTGCATGATGTTGGAAAGGATTACCAATTACTAAAATCAAAAGCAGCATATACCACAACTACCTAGAAGATTAAGTGATAGGAAAAAAACTTACAATGCTTGATAAGATGCTCTTGAACTAAACTCTCTAACCGTTGCTTCAGTGTTTTATTCTCCATATTCAGAATCAGATTCTGCTGGTTGAGAAATTCGAGCTCAGCAGAAACTTCAGAGCCTTCTGCCTGGAGAATAAACAACAGAATGATATCAACAGCTTCAAAAAGAATACAATGAAGCAAGATTAAACTAAGATAAAATTCAATGTAAAAATGTCTCAAGCATGGTGACACTAACCTGTAGAGCCTGCACGTTTTTTTCAAGTTCAGCAATGTATTGAAGTTTCCTGACCCGTGAACGCTGAGCAAATTGCCTGCATTATATAGAAAGTTAAGCTTAATGAACAATAAAATATCAACCAAATTTTGTAGTTCCTCAATCAAATGCAATTAAGAAAGTTGTGAAACGTCATGAACAGACAAAACATATCGGTGTGGGTTCTCATGATGCAGAGCAAAAGGGTATGTGTTTGGCTTTCAATTCTGAAATTTTCAACTTCATCCAAACATTTGGAATGAGTAACTATGTTTCCTCAAAACTGAAACACATGAGAATAGGCAAACAGTAGCTGGATACATAAGAAAACAGGCTGAAACGACTAGGAGTTCGAGGCTGGAGGTTTATGAAACTCAAATCTCTCACGAATTTATTGGGTAAAGGATTAAGACATTAAGATTCATCCATACATATAGACTGGGGTGACTCTCGTATGATTCCCTCACAAAATAAAAACATGCGACAATGGGCAAATAACAACTGGCTACAAAGAAAAAACTAGAAGAATCCTGGGAATTTCAGAGAACATGTGGAACTCAAAAGAACCCAATCATTGTTATTTAGTGGCTAAAATTAACATACTGCTTGGCACGTTTAGTGTCCATCTCCAAAGTAGAAGGCTTGGCATGAAGTGAGTCCTTTTCAGAAGAACCCGTTGGGTCATGTGGTCCATATTCACCAGGATCCAGCTTTTTAGTAGGTGAAGACGGATTCCTCTCTGCTTCTCTCGAAGCACTCGATAATCCTGCATCTTGGATAATGGCATTATCCCCAGGAGAAGGAACTCCACCAGGAGGTGCAACTGAATTATCCCATGTCTGATTTTTGGTTTTTCCTAAAGAACTTGGGCCCCCATACGCAGAACCATGCTGTATATCTCTATAAAATTCAAAACATTGAGATCCCCATGAAGGCACCGAGTTTAAATTTTTGAACTCGTTATTGTCAGGAGTAAGATAATTTGTGCTTCCAACATTCCTTGTGTCAATATATGCAAAAGAATCACTAGATGAACGCCGATGACCTCCTCTGCGCACAGGAGTTTCTGGCTCATTGAGGAGTTCATCAAACCAAGAAGGTTGTTCCTCTATTAAAAAACTCTCTGAGGAAGTACGTTGATGGTGTGAATTTTCCTCTCTAGGCTTTGGAAGACCTTTTGGTCCAACCCCTGAACTAGGGATATAATCAGCATATGACGGGTAAATGCTAGGAAAGGGACTTTTTGGAGGCAGTAAAGAATTTTTTCCATTGTACATCATATTTCTGAAGTTAGATGGTCACTTGGAATTTTCCATGGCAAAGAAAACCAGGTCCTGCCACAAAAATTAACAATATCAATATCACAAAATTACTTCTGAAATTAAAAATTCATATATTGGAGTACCATAGCAACATTCTCGACTACAAATCTCAAATTTATCCAAGAAGATAGAAAACAAGACAGCATCAAGGAAACAAAACAACTTAACAAAATAGCCAATGCAGGTGAATTACCAATTCCAAAGAAATGTTGAAATTCTGAAGAAACCAAATATTCCAAAAAACGACAACGCAGCATCAATGCCCATTGTTCTCAACAAATCCAAAGGCGCACAACAATGCTTAGACTTTCAATGAACAACAATCTTCCAACTCAATCTCATTATTAACATCCCAAGGAACATTCAATAAACTGACGGCAAAAAGACTACCCACACATAAGGTGATCATGGAATTAGCCGTGCACCATATTACTACAGGGAATCGGTACAAAGTTGCTTCCACATGAAAGGAAGTTCACATATTCTAGCAAGCAACTCCAACACAATATCACCACTGCTCTCAGCTAAAAATTGGCACTACAATATCGATCTCCATTTGCAAAACAATCCTTTCGTTTATAAATCTCATGCTTCATAAAATTAAGCCTGAAATTATTAATACCCATGAAATATCAAAAATCCAATCTTTACGTCACCCACATTTCCTCATAACCCATAAACATCGCTCCACTCCATATTAAATTAAAAAAAAAAAAAGAAAAATACTAAACCCAATCAGACTGTATTCAATTACGTACTGACGAGGAGGTTTAGAATTCAATGAAATGCTAACCTTGAAATAATGGTGAATAAAGATCTTGGCAATGCAAATGCAATATAAAGAAAACCCAGAAAATGAATGAATCAAACCTTAATCGAATTCCATTCTTTTAGGGTTTCTTCTTATTCTTCTTCTTCTTTGGCGAAAGCCCCCCTTTGCCTTTTATTTGTTTGCTTGTTCCTGGATGTTTCTCTCCCCTCTTATATGATACTGGTTTTCTTGGATGGAGTATTTTTGACAGCCAAACATGAGGTGTTTTTATCGTTTTTATCGTCTTTATTATACAATTTTCAATCTCAGGATTCTTAAATTAATATTAGTAAATACCAAAAACATGTTTGCAACTATCATTAACCCTATCATTAACCGTTTAAATTATAATTATAAATGAATATAAATGAGTAATAGATAAGTTGGTCAGTATAAATAAAAAATAATTTGAGTATTTATAAAGATTTTATAAATGTAATACTTTTTTAACAGAAAACTCTAATGCCGACGCATATATGCTCAAAAAATTTACTGATTATGAAAATTATATTCATTTTGTTAATCTTTTTGTGTCTGTCAAGTGAGTCCATGATCTAACAAACATGGTCCGAATATTATCTTTTTAATCAATTGTTTGTTGTGAATCTTAAGCTAATGTTTTTATCTCAAAACCCACAAGGCAAGAATCATTAGTGGATAGAGGTTTAACCATACTGAACTTTCTTTTTCTTTTTCTTTTAAAACTTCAATAGAAGCTTCGTAAAGAATAAAGTATACAAGTTGACGATAAAAAGATGATTTGAACTTCTTTTAAACCATACAAAATCATGTTGAATCTTGATATTATCTATACCTAAAACAAACGTATACTTATTTCTATATTATCTTTTAGAGGAAAGTGCACATAAAAAATAAAAGTAATGCTAGTTGTCATCACGATGATTGATTATTGTGTTTAGATTACATTGAATGATATGTTCAATTACACAGTTTTTATGTCCCGTAGTTGGTCACCCGTGCCTGGTCATCCCAAGAGGGACAACAACAGCAGCAGCTAGGAACACTATTCTAGATTAACCAACCAAACAATTTCTTGGATTTACATTTGACCATGGTAGTATGACAACTTGCATTGGGCATTTCTTGTGGGAAAGATCACGTCTTGATCTAGGAAACTCAATGTTTTACTGTTCCTTAGAATTTTAAGACTATTTTACAGCTATGAAATAATATGCTTGAAAACCCACTTGTGTAGTGCGTGGGCGTGGGGTGGAGCAGGGGGTTGACAGTATCTTTACAGCTCATGGTTTTAATATATTATGACTTCCATTGGAAGACTTTTCTTACCTTTCATTTAAGCATTGACATTAACAATCAACATGCTCACTGTTGTGTCACCTGTCAAACTTCCTAGAATTTGAAATCAAGATTACAATAAAAAAGATGATAATGCCCCGTTTGGCCTCCATTCTTGTCAAATTTTAATTGTTGTAATAGTATTTTTTTAATAATGTGTGGTTGAAAAAAAATAATTTTTTTTTGATTTGCGTGTAATATTATTTTATAGAAAATTGTGTGATTGAAAATAAGAGAGAGAGAGAGAGAGAGAGAAAAAAAAGAATGAGAATGAGAATGAGGGCCAAACATAGGCAATATTTCAACATTTCGACGATAACAAAAACGAACACGAGTTTAACAGTGTTGTAATAATAATCAATCGAGAGCATAAGCCGGGCCGGTCATCTTGGCAGTACACATAATGGGTTGTCAAACTCAATCCCAGGCACTATTATGGTTTAGGGTAGTTTTTGGATTCTATATATGTAGCATGTGCTTTATACTTAGTTCATGGCATCAAATTGCCTATATGCCACCAAGTTGTGAAGTGGTCCAGTCCAAGCCTAGAACAGCAAAAAGATTATATTTTCTTTTCAAGATAAACAAATGTGAAAAGATTGTATAATTCCAATTTAACAAGTCAAAAATTTACATGTTACCCACAAATTCTTGGAAGATGACAAGAAATGTGTAGGGTGCAAAAGCCTCTTCATATGCAATAAATACCATGTTCTGGAAACATATAACTTCACATATCCTTAAGACTATGATTAGAGGTTAACACTTTGTTATGATATAATCATAGGGTCAAATGTTCTATAGTTGACTGTAAATGTAAATTACTTCACTCATATATGTCCATTTTAAAGAATTGAACAAGCTGAAACTCATTTAGCAACCAATAACTGTATCCACCTCAATCCACATTAGACCCGTTAAATCTTATTCAATTAAAAAGTATCTTCAAAAATAAATTATTTTTTCCTGGTCAAGTCTAAATAGTCTTGAAATATTTCAAATTATCTATTTTTCCTGTAAAATAAAATGGGTTCACCTAGAGCAATACATGATTTTCTCTTAGTCTTTCTGGATTGAGGCCTTAGCTTAGAAAGTGTAGGAGTACTATTACTTCTCAATCCAATTTATTAGGACTATTCGTTGGGATTGGTTCTATATAGTTGGTAGATCATGCCTACGGCATCCAAGAAATCCAGCTGCATTTGCCCGTTCATTTGAAGACAGAACAAGATGTGAGATATCACCCAATATACATAGCTAATGGGAATTAAGGCTGTCAATGAATTGAATTTTGATCTGAATTCGATGAAATTAACGGGAGATGGATTTAAAGTTTCAATCTGATAATCTGATTAAAATCCGAATTCGATAATCTGTTAACTAAATGGAGCAAATATGGATATATGTCGATCCGATCCGATTTATTATAATAATATTATATATTTTATATATTATATCATAATTTATTAAACATAATTTTTTCCATTTTGAAACTTATATTACGCTTTACGCATAATTTTCAAATAATAAATAATATTAGATAATAGTATAATATTTTTACTTGAAATATTCAAAGAGGCTTAATTTTTTATTAATTAAAATAAGATAAAAATAACTATAATAATTTGTTTTATAACATCAAAAACTAATAATTAATATATCCAAAAATAATTTACTTTGTTAAAATTGATATTGTTTTTTATTTTAATTATGTTAAGCTATGATTTTTAGTGAAAATAATAAAATAAACTAGTAAACACTTAGAATTGACAATTGAGTAATATCCCACATTAAAAGATCACTAAAACATTAGAAGAGAAGTACCCTTTAAAAATGTAGTATCCCACATAAGAAGATCATTAAAATATTCCAAGAGAAATCTTCTTTAAAAGGAACTAAAGGAACATTACTTGTATAAAAAATTGATTTGGGTCTTCTAGTATATTAGGTGAGCCCATCAAGATAGTTAAAATATTTTTTTTTTGGAAAAAAATGGTGGAAAAAAATTCGGATCGAATTATAAGATCAGATATCCGATAACATGGCAAATCGGATATGGATTTAACAATCAAATATCCGTTGGATTATCGGATCGGATCGGATAATTTTTCTTAACGAATCGAATCGAATTTGGATAGATCCGCTCCATATCTGATCCATTGACAGTCCTAATGGGAATGCGTGTTCAGTCTACAGTTACCCTACAAGTAGTAACTCTAGTCAATTACGAAAAACAGATTCAGGGAGTGAGGGGAAAAGCTAAAATCCCGAACGAGGGATTGGCTTCACCGCACTTCAGATACGCCGGAATGCCATCTTAACTCGTTCCTTAACACCTTCATTCTTGCTTTCGACCTCGCCACTTTCTTTGTCTAGTTGAGCTACATTCCCATTGATGTTGATCACCAGCTTTCCATCTTCCCTACATTCAACGTCTACAAAGAAAGAAATAGGAGTGCATATACGATTTTTTCAGCTTTCTTTGTGTCTTCTTCCTCATTTACCACAGGTTCCGAATCAACCACCATTTTAGGCATCTCCCTACTGGCATTTAAAACCAAAGCCACAACAGAGTCGGAGACCATATCACTAATCGGATCCGCTGTCCAATGCAGGGAAAGAAAATTTTCAGATTCCTGCTTCACAGTCACCCCATTGTACACTAGCAAAGTGGAAACCCCCAATTCCTCGTCCGTTAATGACTCCACACTTTCATATATCTGCTTAAGCCTGTACTTTATAACAGCAAAGGCGCCGAAGTACGGGATAGTAATCCTTTGAATTATATTCCCAGTGGATAGCTGAGAGAATACATGAAGATCCTCAGGTGGCATAATCTGATAGGTGAAGCCCTTTTTAACAAGTAAACCACTCACAATTTCACAAACTGAAGGTGTCTTTTCAGCCATCTTTCCAATAGTTTTTGCCATTTTCTACGAGTTGAAATACATGTCTACGGATTGGCAGTTCTTCGGGGTTATGATTTTGGTGTTTCAAAATAGATAATTTTGTATCTAACTGTATAAAGGCAGGCGCAGATGAGATGTTGTATGAATATCTACAAGACCTAAATTATCAAGAGGCTCTGCAAGCACGTTGAAAATTCGTCCTAGAGTCGCTCTACCGATCGGAACACTTAGATGAGCACCTGTGTCAATCACTTTCACTCCTCTCATCAGACCATCCGTAGCACTCATAGCTACAGCTCTAACTCGATTATTTCCTAATAATTGTTGTACCTCACAAATCACATTAATTGCTTGACCAATAATATCTCGACCTTTAACTACCAGAGCGTTATAAATATTAGGCATCTTGCCTGGCGGAAAGACTACATCTAGTATTGGACCGATGATTTGGACGATACGGCCCATGTTTTGTTTTTCAAGCGTGGAAACCCCAGAACCCGAAGTAGTAGGATTAATTCTCATAATAATAAACAAAATTTGTCGAAATTTTTTTTTGCAAAAAATATCGAATTCAAAATAAAGGTCCCATAGCACGGAGATCAATTAATTCAATAAGAAATGGGAGTTAGCACTCGATTTAGTCGGTACCATTCAATTGAATCCAATTCAATTGTTAGCAAAGACAGAGAGGAGCTTCGCTCTACCGATCGGAACACTTAGAGGAGCACCTGTGTCAATCACTTTCATTCCTCTCATCAGACCATCCGTAGCACTCATAGCTACAGCTCTAACTCGATTATTTCCTAATAATTGTTGTACCTCACAAATCACATTAATTGCTTGACCAATAATATCTCGACCTTTAACTACCAGAGCGTTATAAATATTAGGCATCTTGCCTGGCGGAAAGACTACATCTAGTATTGGACCGATGATTTGGACGATACGGCCCATGTTTTGTTTTTCAAGCGTGGAAACCCCGGAACCCGAAGTAGTAGGATTAATTCTCATAATAATAAACA